ATTACACCTGTGTTTATTTCGGCGATTTTCGGTAGTGAGAGTGCGCGTTTGTGAGAGCGATCTCGTAAATTGGCCGCGCGGACGTAACAATATGTATGTGCAATATATTGCCAATACATATAATGTCCTAATCGACAATGGTAGCAAAAAGTGCTACTGCATTGCATGTGTTTATAGTATACATTTCTAGTATACATCTAAAGTTCACATCTAAAAGTATATAAACATACATACAATTATACATGATGTATATGTACATACGAGGTCTGTCCCAAAAGTATCCGACCTGCATTTATATCTTCGCGCCAAAGTGTTCTAGCGACCTCTACCGGGCAGGAACGTCAACAGTAGGACCTTACGAACTTATCGGTTGGTCGCCGACACTAGTAGGACGTATAGTTCATACGCAGTGTGTATTTGTTTACAGTGTCTTTTTCACGTTCGTCGGATTTTTAAGTAGCTAAAAATGACCGAAAAAGTTGAGCAACGAATTTGCATCAAGTTTTGCTTTAAACTTGAAAAAACTTGTTTTTTAACTTTAATTTAACTTTAACTTAAAAAAAAAAAAAAAAATTTAAACTTGAAAAAGCTTAAAGGACACCGATTCGACGACAAGAAGACTGTTGAAACCAATGCGACGAATGCACTAAAGGCGATTCCAATAACTGACTTTCAAGACTGCTTTGGGAAGTGGAAGCATCGATATGAGCGTGTTGTTCAATCAAATGGGGACTACTTCGAAGGATGCCACTAACCAGATGACGAAGAATAAGCCAAGCGCCGAAAAATGGAGGTAGGTCGGATACTTTTGGGACAGACCTCGTACATCATGACATTACAGCGCCATATTAAAATGTGGATATGGCTAATGGCTACGTACATTATGTACATTTATATTCTCAGTCAAACCGATTCGAAAAGTAAATCGTATTGAAGAAGTTCTTTATACAGGGTGTCTGATATCACACGTATTCCTCTTTTATTTACAGGATAAGATCCAATCAAAAATATTTTCAGACCATAGTTAAAAAATTTAACAAGATCTATTTATTGATCATATCGGTTTGCTCTTGGGTGACATCACCAAGATCAGGTGTCTCATCGATTTTTTTAAATAGAACACCCTATTTTTTTCTTCCACAATGTTACAGCTTATGTCAAGAACTTTTCAAAACGTTACAATTAAATATTTTTGCATGTATAATACTTTTCGATTTATGGAGTTTGAAAGTTACATTACTGCCGGCATTAGCGTTACCCAAGGTGTACCGCGTGGAGGTTGCCTGGTCGGATTTACACCTCTTGCGTGCGTGCGTGCGTGCGTATCGTAGCAGAGATAGACCCCATGATACGTTTTTATTGGACCTTATCCCCGCAAGATAAAAGGGGTGTACAGGTGACCTCAGACACGCTACACAAGTTCTCGATTTTATTTTTTTCAAAAATTTAATACGATTCACTTTTTCAATCGACCGATAATAATACATAAACTTTATCGATACTGTTTTTTTAATTGTTATATAAATTTACAAATATTTATAGTATATTTTCTATTAAAGAAAATTAAAATAAGACAACGTTATATAATATTATATTGTATAATGTTTTTATTTTTGACAATATAGAATGAACCCCTCCATCGCCCATTCCCGTGAAACGCAACCACAAATTTTTTCGTATCTCCATGCTTTGTCTATGACTTGAGCAAATAAAATTACGAACTTTTTTATGTTCTTCCACACGTTTTCTACAGTGTGTAATTATATTTCCGCATGTGCATATATAACAGCGGAACAATATTCTTTGAAATAACATCATATCATTCAAAGAATATTTATTGTCTCGGAAAAGGCAAGAGTTTACGGCTTTCTACTATAGCAAAGAAGTGACGTCTCATAGACTCTACGTCGGTAGAATAATTTTCTTTGCAAGGATTTCTTCTTAGAACTACATCCGTTGCAAAAGCCGCAGCATATATTCCACAACACGTACCATCCGGTTGTGTTTAAACTTTTTTAAAACTTATATCGGTACGTATTATTTGTGGAAAAGGAGCTCTAATATATTCCTTTTCTTTCGACGCCATTTTATCATATGTACAATCCGATATGCTGTCGTATATGTGAAGTTTCGTTCCGTCAAAAAAGATACACTGCCAGTGATCTATACAATTCCACCAATTATTTACACTTTGATTATGACTGGCTGTAATCAAGTCTGGATACTCTATATACTGTACGCTTTGTGTTTCGAAACAAGATGTTTCTCTTACAACGCGTAAGAATAGATCCAATGACTCGTCGTTTAATTTACTATATTTGGACAAGTTATTGTCTTTTACGTCATAAATTTCAATAGTAGTCTCATCTAATACTTTTTTGCAATTTGCTATATCTTTTGCTGTCAGATTTTCTTTTATCGAATGACCGACTGTAATACAATCCTCTTCTTCCGAAACAGCAGGACCAACAGTAGCAGTAGTAGTTGTCTCTGTTGGAATCTCATTCTGTTTCAATTTTTTAATGTCTTGCGAAAACTGTTCATTTATACAAGTTGTCGCTGTATGTTGTCGTTTAATGTTTCGACTAGCTGTTTGTGCTTCAATAATGTATTGTGGCTCTCTGATAGGCATGTTGCTATTATGTCGACTATCCACAATTTCAGGAAGCATACATTCTAAATAAAAACGTGTTAAGAAAGGCAACATTTTATTTTTCCAAAAATCAATATCTCTATCAACACGTATTGTTTTGACGCTTTTTGGCGTCCATACATGCAATATTTTCGCTGTGTTATGTTCAACTGTCCTTGTACTTGATAAAAATAATGGTGATTTTTTTCATTTTGTTTCCAATTTTTTTATTAAACATCCTTTTTAGTCGAGACAGTGTTTCTACAGCCTCCTCCGCTGATAAATTCTTAGCTGATAGAGGACATTTGATCTCCACTATACCATCTTCATCGAGAAATCCATCGGGAGTAGCACCCAACCACGGATTGTCACGATTTATGAACAATCCACATGGTTTAATTTGTTTCTTTAATTGTACAGCTAAATCTTGTTTCGCCATTTCTTCCTTATCACGGCCATATTTTATGGCTGCGGTATCAATAAATGGAGGAAACAAAATATTTTTTACGGTTATTGCACAAGACGTTGTTGATCTCATACGACACACGACTCCGAAATTTGACGCTGTCAACATTCCGTTACTTTCCATAATTCACAATTACTTTGGTCGTATCGTGTTCAATTTGTTTCCAGTTTCTTGCGTTTTCAGCCAATTTTTGTAAATGCTGTTTCTTATATTCTTCTAATATGTTAGGTGCATAGTCTGGTCGTTGCGACTTTTGTCCGTAATAACGATTTGTTCCTGTCTCTTTATTCGACTTCTTTTCTCTTCCTTCTCTTTATCGACATTCTCTGGTTCGAACAACTTTTTCCTGTCGTCGTTTTTCCAAATTCTTTATAGTAAAAGGAACAGTCGTTTTGCATATAATTTCATGTAATTGCGTGAGAACTTGTTGCGTATTATGTTATAATACAGCTCCCGCAATTCTGGCGTTGTAGGAACCTCGTGCACCGAAGTTAATGCGCTTTCCGGCAATTTCTTTGCAGATTATCGAATTAAACGACTCTGCAGGATTGCTCGTTAAATTGAATAACAAACTATTGGAATAAGCGGCTAGATGTTTTATAGCACTTTCTATTTTTTGATAAAGGCCAATTTGAGAAACCGTACATAATTTGGTTCTTTTGTATTACCATTCTGTGCGTGTGCATGTGCCACCAAGTTCCTTACATTGCTTATGTTCACCAAACACGTGGCTAGGAATATTGAGTATATCTTTTTGTAATTCTGTAGCAGCACAATGTTGAGGCTGTTTCTTCTCTCTTCGTATAGCAGCTGCCTCTAAAACTGCTTTCCAAATCTTTTTTATGTTGTTTTTCACAACGGTGTTTCGGTATTTTATATAGAAACGGTTTCTACGCATCTTTGGCTCAGTCGTTTCTGAGATGACTTTCAATTTTTTGCATAGATTACGAAGCAAATGATTTGTGCATTCTATTTTTCTCACTGTTGTCATTTGCTCCTGATACGGTCTATTATCAATAATGGACTTAAATACGTTACTATCACCATCGGCGATGACCGTTCTATAGATCAATCCATACATTTCAATGCTAGTTTTAAATCCTTCAACAATAGCAAAATTTTTCTACTTGAGGTTTCCAAGGGAGCTTTCTGTATGAAGGTTATCCGTTTCGCGGGTTTTCTCCGTGTCCATGTCCATTCTTGAAATGCCAACGTTTCGTGAACCTTGCAGTCCACTTCATCAGGGCGACGAGCAGCCTGATACTAGGCTGTTCCTCCAGGTCGTTCCTTTTTATATTACGCTACCTGTTAGAGTGGCGGGGGATGTGGGGTGGGGAGGGATTATGGGGGGAGAGGTGGTGGGATTGGTCTGTCTTCGGTAACCGGGAGGATGGTCTTCCATATTTTATTTATGTTGTAGCCGTTGTCTTTAGATTGTTAAGGTGTTTTTGTATCTCTATATGGCTTCTCTGTACTTTCTTGGGAAGTATGATGTTATGTTGGCTATTGTGGTCGCTTTATCAAACAGTATTTGGTGTCCTGTTTCGATGTTGTGTTCTGATAGTGCCGACTGCGTGACATGTTTTAGCCTGCCATCCCGTTGGTGTTCTTTGATCCGTAGGTTTACCATTCTCCCGATTTCTCCAATGTATACTTGTCCGCAGGAACAAGGTATTTCGTACACTCTTGCGGAGCTGAGTGGAGGTCTTTGGTCTTTAGGATTTCTTAAAATTTGTCCTATCTTTTTGGGTGGTTTGAAAATAGTTCGGATATTGTGTTTATTTAATATCCTGCCAATCCGATCTGTTGTTCCTTTGACATATGGGAGAATAGATAAGGTCCTTTCGTCTGGTTGTGTGTCAGAGACCGTTGTCTTGTTTGCATGTTTATTGATTATTTTGGTTATATCTTTTTGTCGTGTCCGTTTTTCTGTAAGGCCAGTTTTAGGTGGTCGAGTTCTGTCTGCAGATGTTCTTTGTCAGAGATGGTGAACGCTCTATGTACTAGTGAGTTGATTGCTGACTGTTTTTGTGCTGGGTGGTGGTGCGATTCGGCATATAGGTATCTGTCTGTGTGTGTCGGTTTCCTGTACACTTGATGGCCTAAGGTGCCGTCAGCTTTCTTAGAGACAAGAACATCTAGGAAGGGGAGTTCTTCGTTTTCCTCTACATCTATAGTGAAGTGGATATTTGGATGTTGTTTGTTGAGGAAAGTAAGGAATTTACGGAGTTCGGCTCTGCCGTGTTTCCATATCACGAATGTGTCATCTACATAACGGAACCAAACTTCTGGTTTTTTGATTGTTTTTCGGAGGGCCTCTTTCTCAAAATGCTCCATGAAGATGTTGGCAATTACAAGAGAAATAGGAGAGCCCATAGCCGCTCCTGAAGTTTGTTCATAAAATTGGTTGTTGTAGGAGAAATAAGTAATTGTTAAGCAGTGCTCTATTAGCGGGATAAGGTTGGAGGGGACTTCGTGTGAGGCCTTTATTATGTTTAATGTGTCTTTTATTGGGACTTGTGTGAAAAGGGATTCTACGTCGAAACTTACAAGTAGGTCTGTGGGGCGTAGGCGGATTTTTTGGATCTTTCGTATGAAGTCTGTTGAGTTGGTTATGTGTGATTCGGTTTTTCCAGTGAGTGGTTGTAGTGTACGTGCTAGGAAGCGGGATAAGTTGTATGTCGGGGAGTGTATGGCACTGACAATCGATCTGAGGGGATGTTTTGTTTATGTACTTTTGGTAGTCCGTATAGTCTTGGTGGAAGGGGATTTGTAGGTTTTAATGATGGTTTGGTTTCTTTGGGGATTTTGCTTTTTTCCACTAGAATCTTGGTGTTTTGTGCGATTGTGTTGGTTGGATCTTTGTCAAGTATTTTATATGCTTTGTCCGAAAGAAGATTCTTCATCTTTTTCTTGTAGTCTGATGTGTTCTTGACAACTGTCGTGTTGCCTTTTTCGGCTGGAAGCACGATGATATCTGTGTCCCTGTTCAGGTCTTGGAGGGCCAATCGCTCTTGTCTAGTGGTGTTAGGTGGAGTACATAAATGGTAGGTGGTACATAAATAAAATATGGCAGATCATCCTCCCGGTTACCGAAGACAGACCAATCCCACCACCTCTCCCCCCCCCC